GACCCTAAACGTTTATGAAAAAGGGTTAAAAAAAACAATACTTTTCTAATACTTTGTAAAAATGTTTCCGAAATATAACGATTTCTGCTCACTACACATGCATCAAGACTTCCTTGTCCTTTTAGATAATCACTCATAATCTTAATTCATAATATCGACACACTAATTTTTATCATCCATAAACAAATTATACCGTGACACATAGTTATTTTTATACGGGTAGAACGGAAATTTTGATTGCAAAAAGATAAAAATAATTATACTAAAAATAGATTTGTTTGTACCAGGCTTCAAGTTGTTATCAATATTATATAATACGCGTGTGCATTACAAATTAAACCTTGAAAATTAACATAACAGCAACCAAATTCATTTACAATCGCTGAAAGAATGGTCACCTGCATGTTATTGAGAACCCATTTTTTATACGGCCGCAAAACAATTTTGCGGTCGTATATTGGTATGACGTTGGTGTCGTCGTCGTCGTCGTCGTCGTCGTCGTTGTCGTTGTCGTTGTCGTCGTCCGGCGTCGTCGTCGTCGTCCGAAGACACATTGGTTTTCGCACTCTAATTTTAGTTTAAGTGAACGGATCTCTATGAAATTTTACCATAAGGTTCAATACCACAAAAGGAAGGTTGGGATTGATTTTGGGGGTTATGGTACCAACAGTTAAGGAATTAGGGGCCAAAAAGGGGCCAAAAAATAAGCAATTTTGTGACTTCCAGACATAACTTGTGTGTTAGTGTATGGATCTTTCTGAAATTGTACTACAAGGTTCCATAACACAAAGGGAAATCTGGAATTGAGTTTGGGGGTAATTGCTCAAAACGTTTAGGAATAAGGGGCCAAAAAGGGGCCAAAAATAAGCATTTTTCTAGTTTCCAGACAATAACTTGTGTTCAAGTGTATGGATCTCTCTGAAATTGTACTGCAAGGTACCATATCACAAAGGGAAGGCTGGGATTGAGTTTGGGGGTAATTGCCCAAAACGTTTAGGAATAAGGGGCCAAAAAGGGACCAAAAATAAGCATTTTTCTAGTTTTCAGACAATAACTTGTGTTCAAGTGTTTGGATCTCTCTGAAATTGTACTGCAAGGTACCATACCACAAAGGGAAGGCTGGGATTGATTTTGGGGGTAATTGCCTCAAAATTTTAGGAATAAGGGGCCAAAAAGGGGCAAAAAAACAAGCATTTTTCTAGTTTCATGACAATAACTTGTGTGTAAGTGTATGGATCTTTATGAAATTGTACTACAAGGTTCCATATCACAAAGGGAAAGCTAGGTTTGAGTTTGGGGGTAATTGCCCTAAACATTTAGGAATTTGGGGCCAAAAAGGGGCCAAAAAACAAGCATTTTCTAGTTTCCAGACAATAACTTGTGTGTTAGTGTATGGATCTCTCTGAAATTGTACTGCAAGGTACCATACCACAAAGGGAAGGCTGGGATTGAGTTTGGAGGTGATGAATCATAAGGGGGTTAAAAAAAAAATTTTTTTGGGGGGGGATTTTTTTTCCTTCTTTTTCCTTAAAATTTTCCATTTTAAATTGGTTATTTCTGATTTATATATAAAAGCAAATAATAATGATATGGTTTGAATAGGTAAATTAAAATTTTTTAAGTTCTTAGACCACATTCATTCTGTGTCAGAAACCTATGCTGTGTCAAATATCCAAATTCAGTGCTGTATCAAGCTTGAATGTTGTGTCCATATTTGCCCCAACAGTTCAGGGTTCGACCTCTGCGGTCGTATCAAGCTGCGCCCAGCGGAGCATTTTATTATACCAAAATGTACTAATCATTTAAGGAATAACTGTAATATTTTTTCTGTCTATGAATGAATAACATAAACAATGTGGTGCACACTGAATAACCCGCGTAATTTAAAAGTGTGTACCCTATTTTTGAGGTTAATTCTATTAGAAAGAAAAATATTGCAGTCATTCCTTATAATTCAATTCTAAATTCCATTTTTTAAATCATGAAAAAACGTTGATGACGTCACAGTCACATGACAGAATTATGTCGATAAGCTGATAGACAAAACACTTTCAGCCAACCAGAAGACGTGTTACATCCAACTCTTTATTATATAGAAATCGTCTTGATAATTAAGGGTCAAAGTGTATGTGCGCAATGTATAAATACACAACCATGTCCAGTTGGATGGGAAGCGTTTAATCCGATGTCTGTTTGGAAAGAGTGCGAGGCTTTCTAAACGTTAAAGAACTATTCCAAAAACTCTTTAACGGATATGTAGGTAGCATGTCGTAAAGCAAAAATGCTGCCCATATCGATCATATTCTTATTTGCAGCTAAGGCAGTCGAAATTACCGCCATTCTTCCCGGTCGAACAATCTTGCAGGACCTACCCAGTGGTGGATCCAGGAGATGGGGACGCTCCCGAGAATTGGGGAATTGGAGGACCTTAATTATTGTGACATAAATTGACTGTTATTGTACCTTTATTACTTAGTTTTTAAATTTTAAGTGGGCTCAACGTGCACGTGTTGCTTGCCACGAGTTTTCTACATAGTACAATTTCTTTGATTGTTTAGAAATTATGTATTCAATTGTGTATTCAATTGTGTATTCAGTTGAGATGCACATGTCCGTTCGTCACGTTTAGTCTTCGGATAATCAAAATGTATCGCTGACTAAATCATTTGAAATGTAAAAACGCAAATGTAATGTACTGTTAATATATACAGGTTAATACGATTTTGAGATGCATATACCGTTCATGCGTTATTTCTCTAATTATCGTAATAACTATTAATATTCTTTGAGTTTCCAGGCAACAGGCACATGCACATTTGTATTTGTTATCACTAAGATCACCCACTTTCAGTTTTTGATATGTTATTATGCTTTTCGATTGTTCATGGTCAATATATACAGTTTAGAGCGTTCTTTCATCAACTGAGCCGGGCGGTTGTTGAAATAACTATGATGGCCTGGTAAATATTGCAAACGAATAGTCGGTGCTTGACATAAGATGCAGGAACTAATTGTGTCGAAATTCGAATATAAATATTCACGAAATGAATAAGCCTGCCTAGCAACACTTCAAAATGGATATTGTGTCTGCCAAAAATTGTTACTCCACTTGAAAATCAAATGGCCGGTCGTGTTAATTTTTCTTAAATGGGATAGGAAGTTGAAACCATATATATATATATATACATATTTTTTTACGACCTCAAAATTTGTTTTTGGTTTCCGGACAATAACTTCAGTATAATTAAGTCTTTGGATCTCTAATTGTACGACAAGGTTTTTTACCAAAAATGGAAGGTTGGGAATGATTTTGGGAGTTATGGCCCTAACCTTGTAGAAAAAAGGGGCCAAAATAATACATTTTTTTCTACAACTTTTTATAAATTTCTTATTTCTTGACTAATTTCAATGGGGTTTTATTTAGTCTTGAATTCCCGAGGTTCTTTGATATGCAGAATCTAATCGTGTATTTAGATTTGGATTTTATAAAGGTCCCGTTTTTAAATTGGTCCACATTGAGGTCTAAAGGGTCCAAAATTAAACTTTGTTTGATTTCACTAAAAAATGAATGATTGGGGTTCTTTTATATGTCGAATCTAACCGTGTATTTAGATTTTTGATTTTGGGCCCTTTTTCAAATTGGTCCACATTAAGGTCCAAAGGACCAAAAATTAAACTTAGTTTGATTATAACAAAAATAGAATTCTTCCGGTTCTTTGATATTCTGAATCTGAATATGTAACTATTTAGATTTTTGATTTAGGGACCAGTTGTCAAGTTGGTCCTAAACAAGGTCCAAATCAAAACTTAGTTGAATATTGAATATATGGAGTTCTTTGATATGCCGAATCTAACCGTGAATTAAAATTTTGGATTTTCGACCGGGTTATCAAATTGATCAGCACTGAGTTCCAAAAGGCCCAAAATTAAACTTTATTATAAATTTTTGGGGTTCTTTGATATGCTGAATATAACCATATATTTAGATTTTAGATATTAAACCATAAATGGTAAATGTCCAATTTCAAATTTTAAGTTCTTATACCACATCCATTCTGTATCAGAAACCTAAGCTGTGTCAAATATTTAATCAAAATCCAAATTCAGAGCTGTATCAAGCTTAAATGTTGTGTCCATACTTGCCCCAATTGTTCAGAGCTCGATCTCTTTGGTCGTATCAAGCTGCGCCCTTAATTTAAGGTTTCTGTGAATTTATTTTAAACGTGACTAGGGTGGAGAAGATTACGGGTTTAACATAAGGTGGCCATACTTGTCTATATAATTTATGTAGTTGTCGATCGTTTGTTGGCCAGGTATATTTAGACCAACTTAAAAAGTTATCATCTGTTGATAGCCTTCCACAAAGTAAGGTTAATCGGTTGAATATTGAGCTTCCGAACGAAAAAGTGCTCAAGGAATGTAATTACAACGAACAAATAGTTTGCCGTTTTGTTGAACGCTATATTTTCTGTAGTTTACGCAATCTGGAAAAAAAATATCCATAATTCTGCAAAGAACGAAATAATCGGAATGTCTCTATTTCTTTAAATTCAGAGCAAAAATAAAATATGACGCATGCAGTCTGTTTCCTTATATAATTTAGCATAACACAATTTCTATCTTTAAAAAAATACATACATAATGAAGAGCAAATACATTAACTGATAAAATCTTAAATATATATATATATTAAAGGTACTTGTAGTCTATTTTGGGCAAAACTGTAATTTCATTCTATGCATGGAAGTGAGGAAATAGTGTTTTAATTGCACTTAGTCTACAGGTAACATAAACGTGTTACATTTATAACTGGCCTATTTTACAAAATTAAGATATGATATCATCAATGGATTTCCATGGTTTGTAGGTCAATAACAGAATAAAAAAACAAACGCAATATTTAAATCTGAACAGTTTGTAAACATAATTTTGTTTGAATAGTGTGCAAGACGTTTTCGCTTTGTTTCCTTAAACTTTATAACTAATTTGTGTATTTTCAGTTTATTGTAAAAACGTGGAACTATTATATAAAGTCTGGAAGGAGATTGGAATTGGCACGGAAAAAGGAACAACACTGAAATGAACGTGATGCGATATTGAGCTTTTATATTGGAATTGACAACAATGATTGATATGGAAAGATTTTACAACAAAATCGGATCTAACGTTGGAATAAACAATAATCATTATAACAGTCATAGCTACACAGATGGAAAAAGTGATATGAACAAATATGAATTTGCTTCAGAAAAATCATACAATATAAATGAAAAAGACAGCTTATACAATAAAGCTAACGTATTTGGTGTCGCGAATGGAAAGAGTGATGAATCAGACCTTGAATATATAGTGCACGTTCTAACCAATTCTAAGCATTCAAATCCGTTGAAATATGCCATCGAAGAACAGCTGATTGTCGCTTTGTGTCCAGCAAACTGCCGGAGTTTGCTGTTAATAGCGGAAAGATATGCATTACAATCACTCAAAGATGCCGCCATTAAAATAATTCAAAGCGATGGTTATCAAACTGTAAATGAGTACATTCCTAAATCCGTCGTCGGTAACGAAAGTTACATTCCAGAAAATAACTGTATCCTTCCAAACGATTTGAGTTACGTGCGATATACTGCAGTTTTTACAGTGAATATATCAACACGGGCAGTACAAGTTGTTGTTTTAGATTCGGAGCAAGACGTCAAATGCCACAGGCATCTGAAACAAAGTAAGAACATAAGTGGTGAATTCAAAGCGTGTTGTCTGCACGATTCTAAAGAAGATACCTCCTTCTTATACTGGACTTGTGGGAAAACATTTTTTAAATATGATACAATTATGAATAGGAACAAAACGTGCAAACCATTGAAATGCCGTCGATGCAATTTCACTCTTGTCGGGCATGCTGGGAATTGTTTTGTTATTGGTGGCGTTTATCAGGGTCAAAGGATCCCGGATATCGAGGAGTACAGCGTCAAGAATAATACATGGAGAAGAGTTGCGTCCCTTCCTTTCAACGTTCACACTACAAATTTGTCATGTGTTTCCGTTGGAAATGTGATTTACATTTTTGCAGCATTTAATCAACAGGAGTCTTCTCAACAACATGAACTTGCGGTTTGTCTTTTCAATCCAGACTTAACAAGCATTAATGTCATCGCTGCAATACCAGTGAAAACACAACAAATCAGAACGTGTGTATTTGGAGAGGACGTTTACATTGCTTCTACCAACGGGGATTTCTTAAAATTCAATACTCAAAGCAATTTGATTAAGGAACTTCAGACACAAAATCTGGTTTGTAAAGAATTCGGTATGTACACGTGTGGGAATGCTGTATATCTTGTCGGTGGTGTAAACACGAACGCAAAACTCAATGACGTCATACGCAAGTTTTCACCTTTGTCTGGTACTTGGCAGATACTTTGCAAAACATTACCCGATTATATGCCAATTTTTGCAGATTGTGAGGTAAAAGTCTGTAGAAAACTAGACACAACAATTGTGCCATTTTATGAAAACAACTACATGGAAATTCGATGACATATTATAGACATGTGTTGTCAATGGTTGCTGTTTTAATCAAGAATAAAGCTAAAAATATACCTAATAAAATGTCTTTTAGGTATACAAAGGTGATTTTTATGCCCCTGCCGCAGCAGAGGGAGCATTAAGTGTTACCCTTGTCCGTCTGTACGTCTGTACGTCTGTACGTACGTACGTACGTATGTCTTTACGTCCATACGTACGTACGTCCCGAAATTAGTTTCCGTTCTCTAACTTAAGTTTGCCTCAACCAAATGTTATGAAACTTATACACAATACTTATTACCACTTAAACTCAGATCAAGTCCGAATTTGGGAGGCGTTACTTTAACCTTTCTTGAGGTTTGTCCCTTTATAACGTTATAAGCAAGCAAGGGCATCTTCTGTTTCCCATGGACACATTATCCATTTATTTAAAATTTTATTCTGGCATTTATGTACACATAAATAGGTATAAGGCTTGTCTAATTTTAAAGACTAACTATGTTTACCCTTCAGATTTGGTTGCTGTCTCATTGGCGTATAACCGCATCTCTATTATAACGTTGCTGTCTCATTGGCGTATAACCGCATCTCTATTATAACCATGAAATATGTGTAGATTCTTCTTGGCACTGATGCTCCTTACTTTTACGTGTAATTTGTTGTCTACACTTCTGGTTTTCAGTGTGCCTTGTGTTGAAGGTAATATCATTAACCCATGTCATCTTCATTAAAATGTGTTAAATTTCTCACAAACGCAAGTTGGGCATTTTGTCAGTGTTTATATCTTTCGTACTGCTCGAGGCCAAAATACTAAAAAAAAACGTAAAACCTGATTCAAACGTTGTAGAGCTGGTAATCGATATGGACCAAAAGTAAAGCCAAACCCAGACAATGTATTTGAGCTTCGTGTTAGAACGAGGAAGATATATTCCTTAGTTTTATTTAAACTCCATGTCACTGTAAAAGAGAGGCGAAAGATACCAAATGCCCATTGGACATTCAAACTTATAAGTCAATATTTAACTGACAACGCCATGGTAAAAAAAGACAAAGACAAACAACAGTATACAAAACACAACAAAGAAAACATGAATACTGAGCAACACGAACCCTACCAAATACCGGGGTGGCCTCAGGTGCTCCGGAAGGATAAGCAGATCCTGCTACACATGTGGCACCTGTAGTGTTGCTCAAGGAAGTACAAACATACAGTATCTAAGAACAAAATTAACCAAGAAAACTTAATATTGACCGACCAGTGAACCATGAAAATGAGGTCAACGTCAGATTATACCTGCCAGACAGACATATTCACCTTACAATCATTCTATACACCAAATATAGTAAACCTATTGCTTACAGTTAAAAAAAACCGGACCAAAACACAAAAACTTTAATTTTGAGCAATGAACCGTGACAATGAGGTTCATGTCCAATTTAACCTGACAGACTTACAAGTACATTGTAAAATATTTCCAAACACCAAATATAGTTGCCCTATTGCATATAGTATTTGAAAAACAGACCAAAACACAAAAACTTAACTTTAACCGCTGAACCATGATAATGAGGTCAAGGTCAGATGACACCTTCCAGTGGACATATACACCTTACAATCATTCCATACACCAAATATAGTAGACATATGACTCATAGTATTTGAGATATGATGGACTTGACCACGAAACCTTAACCTTGTTCGCTGATCAATGAAATGAAGTCGAGGTCAAGTGAAAACTTTCTTGACAGGCATAAGGACCTTGCAAGGTTCGCTCATACCTTATATAGTTATCATATTACTGATAAGAAAGTAATTAACATTACAAAAAATCTTTACTTTTTTCAAGTAGTCACTGAAACATGAAAATGAGGTCAAGGACAATGGACATACATGTATGACAGACGGAAACTTCATACCATAAGGCATCTATATACAAAGTATAAAGTATCCAGATCTTCTACCTTCTGAAATATTAAGCTTTAAAAGTAGTTAGTCAACGTCGCCGCCGCCGGATCACTGTCCTTACGTCTCACTTTTTGCGACAGAAATTATAGTGCTGTAAAATATCAAACAAGCAGCAAGCAGAAACAGGCTGCACACTGAATATAAAAACTAATTACGCAATACAATTCAAAATTATCCAGCTGCAGACCAAATATAAAATCATTCGAATCCGTTTAAAAGAAAGTCAAGAAAATATACTGTAACAGTTACATGTATAGACGAAGTTTTTGTAACCAAACTTTCTTTCGGACGGGTGGGTGGACGGACAGCCAGACGACGGACGCACAGAATCGAGCGGTTAAAAAATGTACTAGATCTGCTTTCGTCGTTAGCGACGCAGTCAAATATGCAAATAAACGTATGTAAAAGGTTACCAAGCATTTGTTTGTTGTTGGTTCATTCAATTTGTCAATTAAAAAGCTTAAAATCTAAATTGCAGCTGATAGTCATGGATAGTTGCAATTCACATTTTAATATATGTTTCTAATCCTATATTATATATATAATACAAATAGTGCAATTTGCTTTTAAATTTTGATGATGACTTTTTTCGCTCAAATACAAAACGAGCTATGGTCAACGGGAAGTATTTTTTCGACTTTCTCTGCTTATACCAATTATTTTTGATATTTATATTTTGATATACCGTTTAAATGTTAACAGAGGGTATAGCTGCGACAACCAATATTTGCAAAATATTAATTTCTTACATACCTATGTAAAGGGGCCTTCACACTGGACGAAGACCGCGGTAAGATCTGAAAAATCGTTCAAATCACGAAAGAGGTCGTGGCGAAGTCTTTAGGGGCGTATTAGCAACGTAGCTTGGTCGGCATTTCGCATGGTAATTAAAGCTACGACAATTTTGAACATGCTCAAAATTAACGTAGCGAGATCGTGGTGTTTAATAGTCGTACATATATCGTATCAAGGTAGTAGAAGGAGCGTAGTGGCAGCGGTGTCAGCATTGTCAGCGTAGTAGAGACGTAGGGCCTTGAATGCAAGACTGACTACGCTAGTCTCACGTTCGAACTACGATCATTTTACGCTTATATTACGACAGGATATTACTACGTCCATGCACTGCGCCTACTCTTGACGCTGCCGCTCTCACTACGATCACGACAACAACGGTACGTTATCCTGACAAGGCTCCTACGACTATTTAACGTTGTCGAATTAACTATAAATACTGCAGCTTTCACAGCCATTCTTGTTATCTTCTTTTGCAGTCACACCAGCCAAGCATGAGAGGGAAAATGATACATTTAATTCTACTTCTTAAAGAGAGGCAAAAGATAGAAAAGGGAAAATAAAACTCGAAAACAAACCGACAAAGCCATGGCAAAAATGAAAAATTACGACAAGATATACAACAGTCTGAATAACACAACATAGAAAACTAAAGACCGTGCAAGACGAACAACACAAAAAAAACGCGGGGTGATCTGATGTGCTCCGGAAGGATAAGCAAATCCAGCTCAACATGTGGCACTCGTCGTATTGCTCAACATATACACACATCAGGTGACAAGTCTATTTTGATGGTGTCATTTTCAAGAAATGAGCTTCAAATTTTATAAAAAAGAAAATCACAAAAGGTTCAAATTTTTACACTGCATAAGATGCGCTTATCGACTTACAATGTCATTCCATCGACGCTCACGGCCAACATATGCTCAAGTATGTCTAATAGGAATTATATTGTAAAACACCAGTAATCCCAAGGTAGATATAAAACAAAAACAGCTGGTAAAATTACAAAAAAAAGCTGTGTAAAATGACGAGTGTAGAAATGGACAAGATAAAGGTGATCGATTTACAACAGATGAAGTGGAAGGGGCAGATCCAGCCATTTATAAAAGGGGGGTTCCTAACCCAGGATAAAGGGGGGGGGGGGGGGTTTCCAACTATATGTCACCATTCAAATGCATTGATCGTCCAAAAAAAGGGGGGTTCCAACACCCGGAACCTGGATCCGCCACTGAGTTGGATCAAGTTTGTTTACATTAAAACCTTTTGTTTTCCAGTTTTATCATGTATGACCAGTGTATATTAACTTTTATATAGCCAAATTAACAATTACATACTTAAGATCTCAAACTTTATTCAAAAGATCTTGATCAATGTCAAATTATCAGTTGAAGTCCAAACTCAAATTCTCAACTTCCAGAACAAGTCAAAAGCTTCCTTTCTGATCAAATCACCCGTCCTTGTAATGGTATTGACTCAACAGGACTGCTAAAATACAATCTTAAGTACTCTTTCTATCTCTTGCCAGACGTAGTTTCAAGGTTTGGTCCCGATACTGTATCCACTTCGTGCATGTTAGCCTCTCTGTCAAGAACTGCATAGGGCTGAGCTGGATACCATGTTCGTATACGATTATGTAGACACACACAAGATTCAACTACATCTCGTACAGTATCAGCTAGGGCCAATATGCAAAGTGGTCAGCAGAACTTAAAACATCTGGGCTAAAATGCCGAAAGCATTCTCAACTACACATCGATCCCTTGAAATTCTGTAGTTATAGATGCGTTGTTCTTTTGTAAGGCCTCTCTGGAAATAAGGTTTCATGAGAAACGTGCACAGACCAAAAGAATCATCCCCAAGTAGAAAATGAGACATACCGCTGTCATCAAATGGCAGAGGCTCTGGTTCTGGAAATGCATTACTGGCATCCTTCAATTCAAACTCAATAAATATCTGACAGTCCAACATGGATTCTAGACCACCAATTAATGTTATATTTGTGACTGTTTTGAATTAAGGAGATCAGGTATGCATATTGACACTAAGTCAAGTAAATGATTTGAGAATGAATGCATATAATGTAATTTTATTCTTTTATTCACAATATATATGTGGTTTTTGGCTCTGATTCTGACCAATGCTAATATACTAAATATATATTTTCAAGTGACTATTATTGTTGTTGTTACCAATTATGTAAATCAATTGTATCTGATTTTATGCCCTTTATGGGCCCTGTAATTTGGGAAATAATATATTCTATTCTATTCTATTCTATTCTACCTACAAAACCTTGCAATGTGCGTCTACAAGTACCAACAAGATGACAGAGAAGAAGCATTTATAATTGCAATAAAGACTATCAAACATATTACGAATATTCGTATTGAAGTTTAACATTTAACAATTAACTTTTTCCACATAAATAATGCTGCACCAATACTGCATGATACTTGTAACTTACTAACCACTGATATGCTCCCCTTGTGTAATATAATATTACATTTTACACGAATCTTTTTCAAATTGAATGACCTTTTACTCGTCATACATTATCAGACAACGTCAGAAAGTTGAGCAGGAATTTTATAATTATCTCCAACTACTTACCACTTATAGTAGGCGACGACTCAAATAAATCAATGAAAACAAGCGAACACAGGATGAAATTGTATATATTGCTACACAAAATGCAGGTAATAATTGTGTACAAAGTGAAAAAAATAAGCATGCGTAGCAACTGGGACTGTTATGATGGTCTGGATTGGGGTTAACAGAATAGAGAATAATGGGCAAAAAATATAAAGAATAGAGAAAAATGAACCAAAAAAATAAAGAGGGGTGCTGAAATATCAAGAATAGAGAAAATTTACCAAAAATATAAAGAGTAGAGAAAAATAACCTGAGACATTAATGAATACAAAATGTACCAGTAAGTATTTTAGTAAGTAAGTAAGTAAATTGTATTCAAAGTCGGCATATATGTACACCGTGAATAACATTGAAAACATGATCGAGCTCTGATGAACTCTTTAACCGACTATCATTTAAAAAGCATGCAGTTACGTGCAAATAATAATAAATGGAAATAAAAAAGGCATGCAAATATAATGAAAGCAAACTTTTGATTTCTGAACTTCCATGGACTCACTATTCATATTAGTGAATACATGGTCAATTAATTTATATTAAAAAGGTCCTTGTAAATATGCGATACCTGACACTTTTATTGTTTATTAATATGTGCTGTACATATGTTCAGAGACATATAATATTATATGTCTCTGATATGTTGGATAATTTTTTTATTTTTTAGAATTTAAAGTTAAGGTATCAATCACTCCATATGGAGGTGCTCCTAATTAAAGGAGGCTCATACTAAGAAGAAGAAGATATCTTTTCTTTTCTTTTTTTTAAAATATCCCACATATTGTACAGGTTTAGCCTGTGTATTTGTTTGCATTTTTACTGTAGGAACAATGCTCTACTTTGTTAGAAGATTGATTAATGTTTCTTAAGTGCTCCCAAACAAGGATGATAATAAAGTAGAAATAAAGGATAAATCAATACTTAATTTTTACATTTCATTCCCCTAACAACAAATGGATCAAAAATTTAAAAAAAAACAGACACAAAAATGGACACATTGACGCCTCCTTACTGTTTTTCAGACACAAGCCCCATTACTGATGAGTCAGATTCATCACTTAACAGTAACAACAGACCCAGGAAGCGCCGATGGTCAAGCATTTCATTGAACGATTCGGTATCATTACAGATATCAAGTCAGAACTCTGAGCACTCTGAGTTCTCCGTTTCAAACTGGACTCTACGACATGTTGAAAGACTAAATATATCCTATGCATCTGAGTATTTGGAAGATCCTTTTGATTTGTTTGAGAAAATTGGTAGACAAATAAACCCCCTTTCTGATCTGCAAAGAAAATATACTGGCAAAGTGAAATCTCTTCTCAATTTCGATGCAAATGTACCAGAAAATAGACAAGAAATATATACCAGAGATATATGTTCAGATTTAAATCATCAAATTATTGATCAGTTGGAAACACTGAAAGTAGAAAATAAGACTTATTCAACAGACAATAAAGACAATTTTGTGTAAGTTTTCAAGCAGACGGAAAGCGGAGCGCTTTTAGCCACAGAATACCACAGAACTACACAAAAAAATTGAAAGCTCAGACAGGGTTTCATCACTAACTTACCCATATTTATAGGTAGTGATGTTCTTTTTGCTGTATCTTAATTTTTGTGGTTTGTATATTTCACAACACATACATGCAGGTTATATTACCTACCGTGTTTACCAGTCAGGGGACTTACTTAAATGAGTGATTTTTTAATCACTGATTCAAGTAACATTGTGTCCACAAATGTTGGAAGTAAGAGTTGTCTTTCTTTAATGATCACTTATTTAAGTAGTACAAAAAAGTCAAATAAATCACTAGACTAAGTGATTTATTTTTATTGTAGCTTTAAATATACAATACTAATGATCCAGTGACTAATTATGTTGCTAAAATTATCAGAACCAACATCTGTGTTGATAAGATGACCGGTCATGTCATGTGATGACCTTGTACTGAATCTGGTATAATGACATCAAAAATCACTTGTTTAAGTATCATACCTCTATTTTCTTCCAAAAAATCACTTCTTCAAGTATTATTATTTTAATTACCCCCACTAATTTCAACACCCCCGAACAGTGAAATTTTGATCGCGAACAGTAAAATTTTATTACATAATCTGTAAGATGAAACCTTGAATTTTACAGGAAAATTACTTCCCTGCTGGGAAATACCTGTTAAGAAAGTATAAGTTCATTATGTAAAGCCTTAATTATAGCATTTTTTCAACAAATATATAATTTACAGCTAATTATATATAAATGATTGCATCAAAGGCATAAACCTTGCTATTAAAAAGAAGAAAAAGGTTCATTTTTTCCAATTTTACTAATAATAAGATATAATGTAATTTTGGATGTAACGCGTCTTCTGATTGGCTGACATTGTTTTGTTTATCAGCTCATAGACATAATTTTGTCATGTGACCGTGACGTCATCAACGTTTTTTCATGGTTTACTCCGGTTTAAAATGGAATTTAGAATTAAATTATAAGAAATGACTGTAATATTTTTTCTGTCTATTCGAAATAACATAAAAAATGTGGTGCACACTTTAAAATAACTTGCTATGCGGGTTATTCAGTGTGCACCACATTTTTGGTGTTATTTCTTCATAGACAGAAAAAATATTACAGTCATTCCTTAAATAATCTGAACCTATATGTTTAGAATTTTGGTAAAACTACAAAATCACAATTTGTGACAAAACTTCTAATTTGCTACTTAAATAAGTGATTTTTAAATCACCTATTTCAGTAATTCCCCTGACTGTTTACCAGAATATGTTCTAATGCAGCTGACGTGGGGTATGTCAACATATATATATATATTTGTTTAAGACAACCCCTAGCACCTGTTTGGGCGAATAATGTACAGTATATGTATATGTCAGTGGTACAGCAACCAAACAACACAAATACATGTAACCCTCCGCTCATTGTTGAAGGCCGTACGGTGACCTATAGTTGTTAATTTCTATGTCATTTGGTCTCTTGTGGAGAGTTGTCTCATTGGCAATCATACCACATCTTCATATTTTTATACTTCACCCTCTAGAGGCAATGTATAGTCTTCAATAATAGAGTCAGACATTTATATATGTTTAAACATGCTGCATTTGTTTGCACCTGTCCTAAGTCAGGAACCAGTGGTTGTCGTATGTTAATGTGGTTCAATGTTATTGTTACTCGTTTTTTATATAGATTAGACCGTTGGTTTTCCTGTTTGAATGGTTTTACACTAGTCATTTTTGGGGCCCTTTATCATGTTTATAGCTTGCTGTTTGGTGTGAGCCAAGGCTCCCTGTTGAAGGCCGTACTTTGACCTATAATGGTTTATTTTTACAAATTGTGACTTGATTGGAGAGTTGTCTCATTGGCCCTCATACCACATCTTCTTATATCTATATATCAGACAGATTTCATACACTATATACATGATATATGTGAACCTCTCACTCGATTAGTCTATAAAAGTTTTGAATAAATTTAACAGAAACAATCGTGTGACAATCAAAGATCTGCCATTGACACCTAATAATACAAATAATGAAAAAAAGAATTAAGATACATGTATGACGTACATTTTGTGCAACATATGTACTGACGAGGTTCCTGACTTTCATGACTTTAGAGAACATGGAGAAGCACATGTAAACGTATACACGACTGGAATATTACAGAAACTATTGGTTTTTAGATCTCAACCCCCTTTTTTTTATCTCTTACAGCATGATCCATATTTAAACAAAACATACAAAAAAGAACATACAATAAACATGATAAAAATTAAGCAGTACAAGAAAAACACCTTACTCTTAAATAATGGTTAACAAAAGCACAAAGTGAATAACAACCTTAAGTTATACTGTACTAAAAATACTCCCAGTTATTGAAAGCAGGCTCAAAGTACTCAACCCGTTGATAAACAATCTTGATACATTCTTCCTACACTTAACATTAGTTACTGGTTCAATTTATTAAACCCACCACATTTTGTGGCTATTCCAGGTAGGGTTATCATGTGTTCATAACTGTCTTATAGAAAGGGGCAGATGTCTAAATTAACCTCAAATCAAAGAATGCTTCTATCAGTCAGGGGTACTACTTGTAAAAGTAATTTTTATCTACTTGAAGAAGTAAATATTAATATACTTATATAAGTAAATTTGTAGGATACTCATACAAGTGTATTTTATTTACTTGTATAGGTAAAAAAAAATTGGGCTTAGTTACAAATGTATGTCCCTTAGACATTCAGATTTTTTTACCTATACAAGTAAAAAAGTCATCCTATCTTCTTTTCTTGAATTCTTAGGACTTCTTTGCTCTAATAGAATTTTTGATTGTCTGTCCTTTGCAGATGTCTTTACTAATCATTTAAGTGTAATTTCATGGACAATGAAAATCTCATTTGTCTGTTATCTTCAGAACACTGCTCATTTACAAGCCCCCAAGGGGCAATTTTTGAAGGCCTTGCGCAAATACTTAAGATCTTTGCGCAATCAGTTTCTTTGTTGAATTAATGAGATGAAACATTGAACTCTAATAAAAAATTATGAGCTAACCTAAGAAAAATTGTTAAAGGCATGTTTTTACATCTCAAAACTTGAGAATTTTTGTGGGATTGTAAAAAAAATTACTTTTACAAGTACCGGTAAATTTTTGAGAAAATTAAGGGGAGACTATTCAAACATTATGATTAACTTATATAAGTATATTTTATTTACTTCTTCAAGTAAATAAAGATTACTTGTACAAGTAGTACCCCTGACTGTCTATCCTGTAAAACCATGCATAGAAAGATGAAAAAAGAAATGTGAATTAATCTTGCTAATGACTTTGCTATAGTATACATGGTATAGATAATTCTAAATTTCCAAATCTTTTTGATTACTGATAAACTAGCTAGTGATCCTACTAAATCCTACAAATCTACAAGTTAAATAAAAGGGTTCCTTTATAATACAGTCTTTGGAGCTGAGGACTGGGGACTCTTACATGTACTTAGTATCTGCATATATGATATATGTATGGAATCAATTTTACTATTTTTGTTGTTGAATATGATTTCTATTTGTATATGCTTACATGACAATGAAGACTACTATTAAACAATTATTGACTTTTGGTGAGGTTCATACAATGATTTATCAGCCCTAGAGATATGATATTCACTGAGGCCAAGGGTAAATGTCATATCTCTGGGGTTGATAAATCATTTTATCAACTGATATCAAAAGTCAACAATTGTTTTATTATATTACTTTTTTTATTCATCTTCATTTTCCTTTATTTGCTCAGATATTTAACTGCTCCTGTTTTTATACTAACAATATTATCTGTTTGGTAATTGCTAACTTTTATAAGTTGAAAATATTCAATAAAATTTACTAAAAAAAATCAACGCAGAGAAAGAAGAATAAAAATGAGAATGTGTATGACGTCATAAACCTACGTCATTGACGTTGAATTGGAAAAACTATTTATAGGTAGATATAAGAAGATGTGGTATGAGTGCCAATGAGTACATAGGTACATGTAAGCTGTTCCAAATCTTATATTAACCTATCATGATTTTTCCCATGGTGAATATAACATTTTATCAAAGAATATTCCCTACGTTTTTAACTAATGAGAAAAGAGAATTTTTATACTCATATATATCATGTATATATAATAATATTATCTAATATTATTACAGGGATTCCATGGCTCAAATCAGAGCATTTGACTTCATACTGGAGCTGTCGAACATTCTGAAAATTTATAAAAATATATATCAGCTGATGAAATATCATGTAGCCATAGCAATAGAAGAATCTGGCAAACTCTATGTACCGATGATTTCTAAATTAGCAGAATTGTGTCAACTGAGGGCTGAGTAGGTATTCAAATACTGCAGTGGAAGCATACATATGTTTATTTCACTATATACACTTACTTGCATCAAATTTTATATTTTATTAATCAATAAACAGCAGAAAGTACAGAAACAGAAATGTTGAAAAAGGTCTTTTAGAAAGTAAATTTTAGAGGACAATATGCAGGGTTTTCGCTGGCAGTTGCCCTTTTTAGCATTTTGCAAAAAATAAAAATTGTGGCGATTAAAATTCATTATGGTGAAAGACTTTGGCAAAAGAAATGTAACAGTTTGACTTCATCTATATTGTTTTTTTTTATTTCGGGTTGTTCAGACTTTTCCCCTGATAAGACAAATACTGAGATTTCAACTTGAACTTGTCGTGTTACAATATTAATTATGACAGAAAATCAATAATCAGCTGATTGCATTATATATATGTAGCTATCCACAACAATGGACTAATTAATAAAGGTGTTGATTGAATTGTTTAATGAAATTGTGTGGTTGAAATGCGTCACGTGTCAACTTCGATAGAAATAATTGTTTTGAAGTGGATACTTTGCAATCGTTTTAGCGACGTATGTGTTTGAAGCAAAGTTTGTCTTTTAACAATGGTACAGAAAATAAAACTGTTGTTATGAAGAAAAATGTCCAAAAGTAAGAAAAATCTCTGACTTTAGTACGTATCCTTAAACTATAGACAGCAGTATCCAAAAATTTATTGAAAATATATCCCATGTTCCCAGAAGTCAAATATGATGATTTCATGATTGATATTGCAAGTTTACAGTATCTCTGATGAAAAAAGTGAATGTTTGTTATTTTTGAGTGCTTATTTATTACAATGTAGATTAAAAAATAGATATTTAGAATTATAAAAGGTTAGACAAAAATGCTGCAAACATATTGCAAACTGATTTTTTTGGTTTGTTAGCAATACAATTCAAAAAAAATTTGAATGAAAAATACAATTATGTTAGTCGGGTGGAAAACATTTGAAAGTGGCGAAAAAAATATTGTTTTGGCGAAAGAGGTAGTGAAAAAAAAATTAACCCAGTGGAAACCCTAACAATATTTGTAAAAAAAACTTATGAAATGGAATGAAACCAATATATCTGTATGCAGACTGGTATGTATATATATAAATCAACAAAAGAAATATTGCATTATATATCAAATAAGGAGATTATTGTCAATGAGAACAACTATCTACAAGAGACCAAATGGTGTAGATGTTAGCAACTATAGGTCACCGTAGGACCTTAAACAATGAGCATGGCAGATTTATTGATTAAAAATCAAATTTGAACAGCCAAATTATTTCATATATTTTGTCTATCATAGTCTAAGTATTAAAAAATACATTAAACCTATTATTAAAACTTAAGGTTTTTTTTAATTTAAGAATTGGTAAAGGAAGGCGGGGTCAGTGGTTACACTTGTTAGATAATGATGTTTATTCTGAACCAGATCTGAGATTATATAAGAAAGGCATGCCAATAGTTGATTCAGTAGTAGAAGGACCAGATACCTGTGTCACAGTAACTGCGGTAAGATTCATGTGATTCAGTGAAAATTTTCTCTTCCTGGTGATTTTTCACAGTGAATTCTGGGTAATATGAGTGATCCACTGTTTGTACATTCAATATAAGTTATGTGATAGAGTCTTTTCAGCTACTATGGTTACTATTGGGTATTATCTTTCTAAATTTGATAGTATCATACAAGAAATCACTCTTTTTCACTGTGACTCACTTAACACCACCAAATCAGATTTTTGATTGAAGAATTTGTGCAATACCGTAGGTTATATAGTAAGGGTCATTGCTCAGTGCCATCAATCTTGATAGTTAGCAGTCTAACCCCGTTTAACTCAGATTTACATTTCTCCACCAAGAGTGATACTTTAAGGATTATGTATCCTTTTGTTGTTTCAATGCTAAACATATGGAAATTTTAAAGAAAATCCACAGCCTTTCTCCTTGTACTCTAATATTTGGCAATTCTGTACTTAATAGATAAAAGATTATTGCATGCAGTGCTAGAAATGATTTCTTTAAACCAAGTTTATAAATTAAGATATTGGTTAAAACAAATATAAATACTGACCAATTCAAGTACACCTTCTATGGTGCGCTCGACATAAGTAACTCAGCAGTAGGTTTTTTTTTTGGAATGTAAAGGTTCTTCAGGACTAAAAAAATAGACGCTATAAAAAAAATCTCTGCATTAAAGTCTGTGGATTTTCTGCAAAAATCTTATCTTTATTTGCCACAAAATCCCCATTTTCTATTAAATGCAATAAAACAATAAAATAATATTGCTTTGAACGAAGCTTCCCTTTGGTATATGTACAAAATGGTACATCTCTATTATTCATTATCTTTGCTGTCTTGATATTACTGTAGTTTGAAAATTTGTAATACACATGGCTACAGAAGGGGTCATACAACTTAAGTACTTTATGTGTGCTGTAGGTAATGTATATATAACAGGGTCATTACTCAAAAAGCAATCACTCTAAATCACCAGGAATTACCCTGTTTCACAGTGAACCACTAAACATAATCAAGATTTGACATTTTTTGTATATTTTAGGGTTTACAACTGTCTTGGTTGTATTTTGGCAGTCATCTTTAGTACAGGATCCATGATCCATTCACTGGCATGCATTTTTACTTTATAAACATGATAAATTTATAAATAACAATTTCCGGATAATATACAATGACCACTGTCAGCTCTCAGCAGAGGATGAAACAGGGAATTAATATTTGAGGTATAGTTATCTCCCTTAGACATCCAGACTTTTGGATTTTCCCCTTACCAGATTTGTGTTACTTTTATAAAAAAAATAAATAGTCATATTTGCTTCTCGCCTTGAAATTCTCTTGACTACATTACTTTCACAGTTGTCTTTACTATTTATAAATGTAATGTAGTTATAACAGACCATCGCCTAATTCTCTTCTCATAAATCCACATCCAGATTTAAATCAAGGGCTAAATACAGAACCTGAATAATCTTAATACCTTCAAAAGAGCCATGATAACATTAGCTGAGTAGTATGGACGATGAAAATCTTATTTAAATTTAAATTGTCTGCTATTTTCAAAATACTGCATATTAACACGCATCCAGGGAGGCTTTGTGCACTTGCTTAACTGTGCATGTACTTTCGTGTAAATTTGACCTGTTACACAATTTGTAATAAAATTGAGAATGAAAATGGGGAATGTGTCAAAAAGACAACAACCCGACCAAAGAGCAGAAAACAGCCAAAGGCCACAATGGGTCTTCAACACACCGAGAAAATCCCACACCAGGAGGCATGCTTCAGCTGGCCCCTAAACAAAAATGTGTACTAGTTCAGTGATAATGGACGTCATACTAAACTCTGAATGCTTTTTTTGTTATTCAATGTTTACTTATTTTGTGTTATATCTTGTCTCACTATTTTTAATATGTACCACATTTGATAAGTATTTAGCATGACGATAAATTTTCACTATTTCCTGTTTCAGTGGTTGTAGTTTGTTGATGTGGTTCTTAAGTGTTTCTTGTTTCTCGTTCTTTATATAGATTAGACCGTTGGTTTTCCTGTTTGAATTGTTTTACACTAGTCATTTTAGGGCCCTTTATAACTTGCTGTTCGGTGTGAGCCAAGGCTCCGTGTTGAAGGCCATACTTTGACCTATAATTGTTTACTTTTTACACATTGTGACTTGGATGGAGAGTTGTCTCATTGGCACTCATACCACATCTTCTTATTTCTATTGTAGAGTTTTTGAGGTAAAAATTTATAAAAAAGTATTATGCAATGTCCCTTTGGCCCATTTTCGCCACTCTCTTATGCAAAATAGGAAATATATCGTAGGTAAATTTGACCTCCCAAAACTTGAAAATTTTAAGTTTGTAAAAAGTAAATTTTTGGAGAAGCACAAAGGGAGATTATCCAAACATTGAAAAGTAAATTTAAATTTTTAAAATTCCTTGTACATCTTTAAAGTTAAAAAAAATAATTATATAAGTTGTATCCCTGACGGTCTGTTTCTCATATAAACATTGTATACTTCCTTTATAGATTAAAAATTTATTTTGTTGGCCTAAATAAGTAATATCAATGACATGCTTATTCATGTCTGAACTTCATTTTTTAACAGCACCAGAGGAATTTCTGTCAAAGAATAAATGAAACTCACAGTAAAAGATCAATTAATGAAACAACTATATTTAACGAAGACATACAGTCACCAAGATTGTTGCAGAATTTAAATGAATCAATTCTCGGCAAACATGCTGGGGAGTTATTGTTAGACATTAGGTCAAATGGCATGAGAAAGAAAAATGGTGACACAAATGAACGAATAATGCTTGGAACTATAATTGATGGGACAAAGGTATGGTTAAATTATTTAGAATTTTTAAATTTTCAAATTGTCTTGATATTTGCATGAAGGTATCAAAAATCAGAGAGGTATATTTAAACCACTATCATCAACAATTGAAATCATTTCGGAAGAGAATTTGTGTCCAGCATAACCTTAAAAACAGGTATTAAAATTGATAGCGCTTTATCTCATTTGTTCCCTTTAGGAAAGGTGCCTTAGTTTTGTGAAAATAGCAAAAGGGATGCCTGTCCAAATGTTTGAAAGTCAAAAGTAGTTTATGGTGTCTTTGAATATCTCTTCAGATTAGATGAATGTCCATGGGAAATCCTGAAAAAAAGGGTTCAATTTTTTGTTTTAAAAAGTGTGACCCTCATGTTGATAAAAACCTGCAAATGATAATATTGTAATAACTGTATCATACATTTTTAAGTGCAAAAGGTCATAATTCTTACTTAGGGTTTTTGATTCCTGGATGCCCAAACATGAAGATTTGAATATATGTAGGGCATCCTGTTCTGTTGACAAGTCCTATAGTTATGCCTCTATGATATTTGTTTTATACTACTGTGGATTCATTTATTTTCGTGGGTACCAATTTTCGTGGATTGAGAATAACTTGTATTTTCATTGATATTTGATTTTGTGGATTTGCCAAAGTATGCATACAACCTTATAGAATATGTGTAATGCGTTGAACATTTAAATTCGTGGTTTACTTGTACCCACGAAATCCACAAAAATTGGTACCCAAGGAATAATAATGAATCCACAGTTTTCAGTATTGATAAAACAGTATATTATAAGTCTACAGTCTATGTATGTTAATACTAAAAAAACTGAAAATTGTTTTTATTAACATATATGTTTTGGACAAGACAAATGGAAGAATTATAGGCATGACAGGTACATATATTTGTCTTGCTCTAACGACAATTTTAGTTTTAAATTTATGTATTTAGTTAAGTGTTTCCTACAAGAGGTTTCACGAGGGCATGGCACCCTGCCTATTTTTTTTTATGCCTTGCCCTTTTTTGTAAAATATTTGTGGCCATGCCAGTTTTCTGTTGTATTTTATAAGCCCCTCTTGTAATTTATGATTGGGACTGTGTTCACCTTTTAATAAGACCATTTAGAGTTATTTCCCTTTGGAGGAAATAAAAATTTATTGGCTGACATGCATTTTTGTCAAATTTCAATTGAAAAATTTCATGATTATTGTTTTTGAAGCAACTGAGTTTGTAGTACCAGAACCAACTCAGTTACTATCAAAAAGAAAACAAAACACAGTATGAACTGAGAAAAAAAATATTGGCCTAAAAAGTTTTGTAAAGTTATGAGCCAAGGTAAAGGTAGCTCATTGATTGTTATAGACAAAATCAAAAAGGTTTTTTACACTAATTTTTCTGTGCAGCTAAAAAGCAATGCATATGCTCTTGGTCAGGCAAGTCTCGACACTTTCACAACAAATCATCAGACACCCTGGGATCTAGTATTAAAGTTTATAGCTAGAGCTATTAAATTAAAATGAGGCGGTTGTACTATCAAGATTCTGTAAGCGGAGTCTAGAAGTAATCATTTTACCATAATTAGTAACCTATATATATATCTTTATTTGTTAACATTAAATATTTCTGTAACAGTGCCTGTATAACCCTATTAACATGATTTTAAAAGGGTGTCTTAGAATTGTCTCTAAAAGTACTTAGAGGGCCCTCTGAGAAAAAAATTACCCTGCCCGTCTTTTAAAGATGATGGAAACACAACTTTAGTATATGTTATAAGAAATTGTTTAAATAAAAAAAAACTTCCCTTGACTGTTCATTTAAGTAGTATGTTATAACGATATGAAAATTTTATTCCTAGACATTACCATATGTACATTCTTAATCTTCTAGTTATTTTTTTGGTATCTATTTATACTGACTGTAGGCCTGTTTCAACACAATATTTAATGTTATCATTTGTAGATTTATTTAACCCTTTTGGAGATGACAGAAACACACTGCAGAAAGCTTGAAAGGCAAGATCAGCTAACAGATTCAGATAGAGCATGCATACATTATGTTAAACCATTTGATATCATCTTTGAAGAGGAACGTAATATGTTGATTGAATGTTTAATATGTCTGAATAATATTAAGCAATAAAGCTTACCTTTGTTACATGTACGTTTGTATTTTCCCAAGTGAATTGTTTTACTGAGCACAGAATCAACATGTAGATCAACTAGTATGACCATATACATGATATATTGGCCTCTTTGGCCATATAATGACCATATATTGAAAAGTAAAAGGTGACTTATTGGTCCATTGGGCTGGGTGTATTTTGTATGTTGGATTATATTTTGTAGAAATATATATATTTATGTCACTATAATAAACTATTTATTTACTTTACTTACTATTGGACCTTATGACTATATAATGACCTTTATTATCATATATCACCCTTTATGACCATATATTGGCTTTTATGACCATATATTGGCCTTTATGACCATATATTGACCTTTATGATCATATATTGGCTTTATGACCATATATTGTCCTTTATCACCATCTGACCTTTATCACCATATAATGGCCTGTATAACCATATAATGGCCTTTATGACCTTATATTGGCCTCTATAACGATATATTGGCCTTTATAACAATATATTTGCCTCTATGACCATATATTGGCCTTTATCACCATATGACCTTTATCACCATATATTGGCCTCTCTAACCATATAATGGCCTTTATGACCTTACAGTGTTCTCCCCAGGATTTTTGGATAGCACCAGGGTAAAGCGTGTGGACAGCTTGGTGAAATATTTCATACAATCAGTTGTGTCGCGTCGCTTAGCTCTATTTCTAGTTACTGTAGTTTTTATGTCTCTTGTTTTGTTTTAATACTGTGGTATGTAGACATTGAGTCAGAAAATTATTGGTAAAAAAGAAGTAAATAAAAAAACAGTTTGTTTACTTTAATATTTTTTTAAAATAAATAAATTATGATTCATAATAAAATATTCATCTGAATTTAAAGTAATTAAATCTTTTATAAAATCCAAAATCAATAAAAATAAAATATCATTCAAAAGAGAACAAAAATGTTTAATTTAAAAAACTTTCTAGTTTCTAGAAAGAAAGTTGTTGTATGTGAAAGGATTCCTGTTATAAGAAGATATAAAATTAACAAGAACATTTGCAAATATTGTTTTATTATTTGAACCAGTTTCTATCTTAGATTTTAATAAAAAGAAATTTTTCATAAATTTTAGAACATTTTGCCATAGATTTTATGTAAATATTAACCGAAAGTGTCTTTGGTGATAATCAAACATAGATACAGACTTAATACTGCACTGAAATCTAAATCTTTATTTGTCATGAACCATTTAAAAAAAAATCCTAAATCTATAAATTTATCTTTGGTCTATAGATCTATAAGTAACCATATTCAATGTCAACAACTAAGTCTCCCTATTTTCCCGCCTAAATGACAGGAAGTAGATATAAATAGATTTAACATGTGCTTATGGATAAAATTTGCAAGATTGCTTCTGTTATTCATTAATTATGGATATAGATATCCAGTTTGAAGGTACAGTCATGCATTTTATTTATAAAATAGAATAGATTGCAATTAATTGTAAATAAACTTGAATATTCTACGTGAACTATAAACTGGGTCATGTGATATCTGAGACTACTATAACACATGTGTTATAGTAGTCTCAGGTGATATGTACAGACAGATACTACAGTTTGAAACCCCGACTATCATGCAATAACTATGCCATAATTAAAGATAATATTGGCCATGGTTTAATCAGAGACATATCATACTATAATATAAGAATTGAGAAATGTATAATTGTCAATTATACGTAATGAGCCACCTTTATGATGTACAAAAAATGTACCTATCGGGTCAAGGCACTGTTTGTGTACAAAGTATATAAGGCTTATATTGGCCTCTATAACCATATAATGGCCTTTATGACAATATGTTGGCTTTTATGACCATATATTGGCCTCTATGACCATATATTGACCTTTATGACCATATGACCTTTATGACCATATATTGGCCTCTCTAACCATATAATGGCCTTTATGACCTTATATTGGCCTCTATAACAATATAATTGCCTTTGTGACCATATATTGGCTTTTATGACCATATATTGGCCTTTATGACCATATATTGGCCTTTTTCACCATATGACCTTAATGACCATATATTGGCCTTTATGACAATATATTGACTTTTTGACCATATATTGGCCTCTATGACCATAAAATGACCTTTATGACCAACCATATATTGGCTTTATGACAATAAATTGGCCTTTATGACCACATTTTGGCCTTTATGACCATATATTGGCCTTCATATAAAAAAAGAAGATGTGGTATGATTGCCAATGAGACAACTCTTCTCAAGAGACCAAATAACAGAAATTTTAACAACTGTAGGTCACCGTACAGCCTTCAACAATGAGCAAAGCCCATACCGCATAGTCAGCTATAAAAGGCCCCGAAATGACAAATGTAAAACAATTCAAACGAGAAAACTAACGGCCTAATTTATGTACAAAAAAATGAACATGTAAGAGGGATCCCAACCCTCCCCCTAACCTGGGACAGTGATGTATCTGTACAACATAAGAAAGAACTATAAAAATCAGTTGAAAAAGGCTTAACTCATCAGATGGATACAAATAGAAATACATTTAACAAAAACACAGTGGACGTGGCCGGGTACTTGTACATCCCAACAACAAAAAGACACGAAGTACAGATCTGAGAGTACTAGCAGTTACTGACAGCTAGTTCAAAGCCAATAACAACTAATAAAAAAAGTCATGCATCTAAGACTAAATTATCAATCATTACACATCCAACATCCAATGGATTTAGTGTAAAGACGTCATAAACAGTCAGAGAAAAACATGACCTTGTGCAATGCCAAGATACAGGTATCGACAGATTGTAGATCCATGAATGTGCATATGTATATAACAATAATACTTAGTTTGCTTTTAATTTACTGATAACAAAATCAATAAAAACAATATTCAAAGATCTAATTACAGTGTTAAATTGGTAACTTTTTAGAATAAGTTTATTTAAAGGATCGATAAGTTTACCAGGATCGTTTCTAAATTTCCTGGCATGGTAAACAACATCTCTGAAAAAATGAGGATGTGCTATCCCGTTTGAAATAAGTTTTCTACAGGTACAACAAAACTTCAAAACCAAATCTTTATATCTATGGAAGAATTTAGTAACGGTTTTAAGTAATTTGTGGTAACTAAATCCCTGACTTAATTATCTACCAGTAATATATAGATTACGTTCATTAAAATCCAAAACGTCAAAACAGACACGGGCATAGCAAACGAGTTGTGATATATAAATATCGTGAGATGGTGCCAAAGTTTTTGTGTTTTTGGTCTTTTTTTTTCTAATACTATATGCAATAGGTCAACTTTATTTGGTATATGGAAATATTTCATGATGTACATGTCAGTCTGGGAGTGTTTTTTTTTACCTTAACCTCATTTTCACGGTTCATTGCTCAGTGTAAAGTTTTTATGCTGTGGTGTGTTTTCTTAATCTTTAAGCAGTAGATCAACTGCATTTGGTGTAAGGAATGAGTGTAAGGTGTATTTGTCTGTCTAATAAGTATCATCTGACCTTGACCTCATTTCCATAGTTCATTGGTCAGTGCTAAGCTTTCATATTTAAGTTTGTTTCTTAGATACTATAAGTAATTTGTCAATATTAAATGCATAGATTGATTGTAAGTTGTGCATGTCTGTCAAGCATGGTTCATCTGACCTTGACCTCATTTTCATGGTTCATTAATCAATGTTAAGTTTCCTGGTTGAGTTCGTTTCCAAGAAACTATAAGCAATAGATCAACTATATTTGGTGTATGGAATGATTGTAAGGCGTACATGTATTTCCGGTTTGGTTTATCTGACCTTGACCTCTTTTTCTTGGATCATGTTAAGTTTATGTGATACTTGTAGAAAAGCTTTATATTAAGGACATAAAATCAATGGTCAGAAAAGCAGGCGAGACATTTCAGCATGTGCACTCTTGTGTATATTAATTATGTAGTAACACTGAAGCAAACTTTAACTAACAAGGTGCAGAACCAATGGATAATAGTACACTTGAAAGCATGTCTTAGATTTAATGTTTGAGTGCCTCAATCTTTAGTTTTCTGTGTATTGTTTTGATGATTGTTGCTTCTCCTTTTGTCTATATACTTAGGCCATGTTAATTTTGAAAAAAATGTGTATACATCAATGGAACAGCAACCAAATGACCCAAATTGAGGTCTTTAACTGTTGCAATAGATAAGCGTCTATAGCAATCAGTTTGCTTACAAGAATCTGACAACACTCCATTTTACTTTCTGTTCTGGTAATTATAACATCAGGACATCAGACAATGAAATTTCAGCCTTCAAAGTTCTGAAGGTAATATATTAATCCGACAAAACCAGAGAATCCCGAAAGGTCTTTAAAACAGAAAATGTCTAAATCCTCTCCTATCTCATGTATCTAGACAGGTTATGAATACAATAATACAAAATCTGCCAGAAATTTCCTTTATAAACTCGATCAGTATAATGAGAAAATGTGCACAGAAAACATCGAATATTAAGATTAGTATGATAAGTCTTATTCAGACGAAACGCGCGTTTGGCGGAACGAATTATAAACCTGTTATTTTTTATGAGTTACATTTTTGTACTCCACGGAGGTTATTTGACCCTGCATCTGCAGTCATGATTCATGAACTGAATTTGTTGCACAGTTAAAGTATTACCAATAACGTTTACATCATATCATCAAAACTGCATAACGATAAGACATATCTCTGTGTTAACAGGATTGTTATAAGGGTGAACTTCGAATGCCTTGTACATGCTTAATCGGCAATCCTCGGATGAACCCGCCCTGAATGTAATCTGCCGAGTTTAGACTAGTTGATATAGATTAGGAGGTATCATGTGCAAAAAAGAAGTACCAGACGAACATTTAAAATTAATAAAACAACTAACAACACCATTGCAAAAAAACCCACAAGGCGACGAAATTTCAAGTCTACAAAACAGTCATAAAAATCAAAATGATGATCAGCACGAAAACGAAAAGGGGGGAGGGGGGTGATATCAAAGTTCTCTAGATGGATAAGTCGGTCCTGCTGAACATATGGTCACTTTCATTTTACTCAAATGGTTCAATGTATAATAATCAAACACAATTACAAGAAGTAAAATATGTTTTTTTAATGTGTATTCTGCTGCATAGTTATAATTATTGAGAAGATTACAGTTTTGCATTCGAATTGAAACGTATATGGAAAAAAAAAAACAAAACAAG